GAAAGAAACTAAGCCAAAACTCTTACTTAAGTTGAACTAAACCTTGTGATGTGAAGGGGAAATGAGCACAGTTCATTAATTAGCAAATTGTCTTTCTCTGACGTAGGCAGTAGGTACTTATTAGTTGCCAGATATTGCCTGTGATCTACCATTCCTGTATCCCTTTATCTGATTTGAGTCACCTCCTGTTTGTTATTAGATTTGTCTGCTCCTTTTCTCTCTCTTCAAATAGCAGTTCTGAAAGCACTTCAATAGCTTAGTCATTTTAAGATTTTAGCCATGATTCTCTTCCTTACTAATAGGCTTACTTTCTCTCTAGTGATTGCTCCCTACTATTGGTGTATAAAAGCTTTCCTCATCCCCCTTATCATTTGCTTAGTTAATGTGATTTCCTTCTGTTGAGTACGGCCCCATCCGCCTCACAGAGCCATTAAATTATTGAGTGCATTCTGTAAAATTTCTCTCAGACTATTTTAATTTCATGTACCACATTTTTTCTCATTTGAAACTGTATTGCTTCCTGCATTTGGATTTCACATTCTTTTAAGAAGGAGATTGTCTTTTTAATTATATTTGGCCTAGTTCTCCATTGTCACTACTTGTACCATATGGGAAGTCTCTGGAATAACAGTCTTGGTTTCTTTCTATCTTATTAGCTTCCTATTCTCCTTCCTTCTCCACTGCAGCTTTTTACCCTCTCCCCTCTAACGCTTTGGGAAGCTACTAAGAAGTTTAAATGGCCTATGTGAAAATATGTCAGTATCCCATTTTACCATATATATGTAACATTTATAATTTATACTCTGCCTACATCCCAGAGGGATATGAGGTGGCTTATGATTTTTTAAAAAAACAACACAAACACACACACATGCACAAAACCCACATGTCCAACAGTATTGTTAAAAATAGTCATAAAGGGAAATCAGAAACCATTTAAGGCAATCTGTAACACAAAGTACTTATAAACGTAAGAAGAAAATTTGTATAAAAAGTGAAAGAAGAACATAACCTTTTAATTATGCAAGGGCTTTCCCATTTTAGACTAGTAGTGAATGAAGATTGTAATTGTGGTCTGAATGTTTCTGTGTCATAACAAAATGACTGACACTATTTCTCACTTCCCCTGACCCCTTAGAAAGGCTTGTCTAAAATAGAGAACTGAAGGGGTTTTTGGTTTGTCCCCAATTACTGTTGTCAACCTCTTTAGTCTGACTTTCTCACTAACAGGCACCATACATTGATCACCTGCCATGTACCAGACCAGCTAGAAGTTAGAGATGCATTATCTCATTTAGTCCTCATCACTAGGCTGTGAAACAGTTGACATTACTTTGTGTCAGAGATGAGGAGGAAACATCTAAGTAGGTAACTGGATCAAAGTTATACAGGTAGTAAGTGGTAGAATGAGGGTTTGAGTCCAGAACTTTCTGGATTCCCTTTGTATTACTCTGTGATCCTTCTTGTTAAAGAGCTGTATTGGAAAAGTTAGCCATGAAACCTCCAATATTTACCTCCACCTCCAGTTTTGTTTAGTGTAGGGCTTCCTAATTTGAAGTTCAAGAATGTGCTTAAAATGGCATGCCAGGAGGGTGGACCCCAGAGAGCCCCGAGTAGCGCCACCGCTGCCGCCGGCCTAGTTACCGTCACAGCCCGGGAGGAGCCGCAGCTGCCGCAGGGGGCCCCAGTCACCGTCGCCGCAACCAGGAGCAGCGAGGCCGAGACCCGGCAGCCGCCCGCCGCCCTCAGCGCTGCCGACACCACGCCCTGCACGACGGGCAGCGGCGGCGCGCGGCGGCCGGCGGGGACTAAAAGGTTATCGCAACGAAGGTTTTGGGAACAGTAAAATGGTTCAATGTAAGAAACGGGTAGGGCTTCATCAAGGGGAGTGACACCAAGGAAGATGTATTTGTACACCAGACTGCCGTAAAGAAGAACCCCAGGAAGTACCTTCGCAGCTTTGGAGATGGAGAGACTGTGGAATTTGATGTCGTTGAAGGAGAAGGACGCGGAGGCAGCAAATGTTACAGGCCCTGGTGGAGGAGTTCCAGCGCAAGGCAGTAAATGTGCAGCAGACCATAACCATTATAGACGCTCTCGACGTCGCAGGGGTCCTCCCCGCAATTACCAGCAGAATTACCACATCAGTGA